AGTGATGGGAAATCCTTTGTATTGATCAAAGCCTTAGTAGCGCTCTGAACACTTGTCCGCCACTGTAACTTTGAAGGACAAAGTCGTATGACTGCAAAAAAGTCGTTTGACATTTGCAAGCCGCTCTCAGCGTCAGGCCCATTAACGTTCGTTCGAACGATTGGCATCTGGGTTTCCTCCGTACGGGTGCTCTTCTCATCTGTCTCATCTAGAACGTTCCGCAGTGCAATAGCAACAGCGCCACTGTCAGTCGCCATTCAGTCACAGCTCTGCTTCGCTCTTGCCACACTTTCAAACTTACTGGTTTGCTTTTCGAAGCTTTTGCTATCGTGTCTCCTTGTCAGCAACAATTTCTTTGATAGCACCTCTAAACAATGAATTTTGCTACAATAATGGGCCTTCTACCTTTGGAGTTGCTGCCAGCACAAGTCTTAATTATCACGAAAGTATGAAAATTAAACGAGGTAGCAGGTGCACAATAGTACTATACTCGCAGCAATAAAATTTCTCGGTGTCATTGACTTTTAGTATACGCCATGCATTTTACTATCATTCAGAATAGTAGCAGCATTTGATTGCGCTGTAGCCGGTGAGCGACCGATGAGCGAGTCCGTGTTGTGGTTTCCCTAAACAAATCTGGTAGCATTTAGTCAACTTCGAGTGGATGGGAGCCTTAGTTAGCTGAACGGCGTACGCTCCAGTATTTGATCCAGGGCTCAATTGACCGAGTCAACTTCCTAAGAGTTTTGGGTATCCCCCAGGCGGCAAAAAGGCAAGTCGGCGGACGAGTCGCGCGCGTACTATAGGGATTTCGCGTCAAGTTAAATAGAGTGTCTCCATTGCACGTCCTACATCGCACATCACGCGCTGCAACTCGTCCCCGACCAGGGTCAACCCTACGTTGTTACTAGTAACAACGGGGGGGTACCTGGTTGAGTTTATAGGAGGGGGGGTCGTATCCGCTTCAGTCGCGTGAAATTACATGTGAGTTTGTGGTGAAAGTGGAGTTTTCACGAGTAGTAGGCTAGGTGAGTTGGGAGCGCATGGGAGAAAAATTCGCCGTTTCAGCGCGCGTATATACCTTCCCTAGAAAATGAAGCAGTGGGATTATAGGTAGAAGTGGGGTGAATTGGTTGAAATTTGGTTGAATTTAGGGAATTTAGGCGTAATTTTACTCTGTTTCATATGCATATATGACCCTCCCCCTCTGTCTTGAGAAAGTAAGCACCACCGACATCGACGTGCACCGTCCACAGCTTGGTTGCCGCGCGAACGGGCCTCTGGGTGGGTACCAATAGTTTCGTCGGTATGTCTAGACTTTATTCAGTTTCTTTGTTCACGTATCAACTCTAGTTTCTCCGTGGGTCCGGACTTAGTGCGAATTCGGAGCACGTCGCTAGCGTCCGCGGCCGCGTCGCGTACAGCGAAGCGAGCAATTCCCTGTACGCGACGCGACCGCGGACGCTTGCGACTTGCTCGATTCGCAAAGTCTGACATTGGCCTAAGTTTATCTCGAATTCGCCCTCACCTCTGTTGATTTGTGCTCAGGTTTTTTGAATTCATTTGTCTCTATTTCAATTCCAAAAATTCGCTCAAAGCTCAAAGTCCTTCTTGATTCCAATTTCCCAATCTCGTATAACTTCTCGAATTTCCTGGCTAGTTTGATCCCCGTCAAGAGGATTGCTTTATGCACACCTTTTGTAGATCTGAGAGGTTTTTAGAGATTTCCAACATCTGTTTTCCTCTGTTGCAGCCATGGATTTATGGCCTCACTCGTTCCACCGCATGATGAGTGATTACCTTCGCGTGAATTCGAGAGAAGTTTTTACCCGTACTGGAGAAATGCCGATCATTCAGTGCTTCATGTGGCCAATGAAACACAAAAAAGGTCCTTGATTAAATAAATTAATATAATAAAAACAGTGTTTTCAATATTGTTTTTTCGAAGTTCACGATTTTCTATCTCTCGACTGGCGTTTTCATGCGTCAATTATTATAGAGAACCAAGTTATTGTGTGCAATTGATTTGGGAGTGTAGATGACTCACCAGCACTCGCCAGAGCAGAGATCATTTCGTCAGATGATTGATTTTCCTCTCAGATTTGTACCGTCACAGAGGTACTCTCTGCTGTATAGCAGCTGGTAAGAACCAATGCAGTGCTCATGGCACGGTCAGTGCATCTATACTCTATTAATTATGCTGTTAGGCGAGTCACTTTGAATAAGACTTGGCCTCAACTGCAAAGAGTTGCAGTGTGCGAGTGACTCAACGATGCACATCTCGCATTTTGTGCCTCTAAATGCCTCAGAGACCGTGGTCAAGGGTTCTATCCACAAGACCGCGTTACCCTACGCTGAGGCTGGAGAATGATAGTGGGGATCACTTGATTGTTGAGTCCGCTGAATCTCATGACCTTTCAGAAAAACGGCCCCCCTGAATAGGACACCTCTCTACCTCTCTCGCTCTCACCCCATCTTCCTGTGCTCAATCTGCCTCAGCTGTTGTCGACGACGACAAGAAGTTTGCCGTGGCTGTGGATGTGTCTCAGTTCCACCCCGAAGAGCTTGAAGGTACACCTGGACGGTCGCGAACTGACCATCGAGGGAAAGCAGCAACACAAGAGCGACAACAGCTTCATGGAGAGGTAAGGCGCTATAGCTGATGGCGTCAGGGTAACCGCGGTGGAGGGTTCGATAGATAGGAGTTGTCAGTGCCCTTTGGTGGGAGAAGAGGGTCATATTTAGGATTTCTCTAGGGTTGTGGATGGCCACAGGTATAGGCAGAAAATGATATAGCGTAAAACAAAATTTGAGTAGCCTAAACGGCAACTTTATAGGAATTTGAAGTGAGCGGCGCACACTGTTGACACCACCGGCTAGAGGGGATCGTGCTGACTGTGACGGGAGGTGGAGGAAGAGTCGTTTCGTGAGTTCCTCTGAAGGGAATTTCGACAAGCGCCGTCCACCCTTTTACGTTCCTCTACTTCTGTGCAATCGTTAGGTGCTTACTGAACGACTGAGCACAGAGGACAGAATATGCTATTATGTGTCATGGTTAGGGAATGATTAAGTTGCATTGCTTCTTGTCAAGGCACGTCCTACCATCTAGATGTGGTCACTGCGCCCTCAAGTAAAGGTAGAGGTCGGAGTGAATTATCAGTAGAGAAAAGGACGAATAAATCACCGCAAACATTAAAGCGAAAACAATTTTGGGTACTGGGAAAATTCGCGAGCCAGGCAGGAATAGACAGTCCATAAAACACTGTGCGCCGAGGCGAGAGAGCATACGGGAAGAGCGAGACGCAGACGGTGAGGTTGCGTTGGGCGCTACTTGCAAGCTTCATGCACCTAAGGCCGTTGAAGGGGTGGTACTATTTCTGCGATGCGCAACTCAACTACCCCATTCACAGGTTGTTTCAGTGTAAAGACGCGGGATGTGCCTTTAGGTGACAGAGTTGGATCATCGGGTCATGAAACCCCAAAAATTTTTGGGCTCTGCGAGTAAGGTCGCGTGCGATCGCGTTGCGGCTATCAATGACGTAGTGTTTAGCTTTCATTTCTTGTCGGCTCGAGTGCGGAATGTTTTTGAAACTTCACCTACAATGACGTTTGCAGCGAGTTTTCTAATAATCGATCGATTCAGATCTTTCGTTCGCACATGGACCCTCCCAGAAAGTGTTGACCTTGATGCCATCCGTACGCAGCTCAACGACGCCGGGCATCTATCCATCGAGGCACCGAAAACAACTGAAGGCGGCAGCCAGCGTCGCACACTGCCCAATTGAGAGAGC